CCCCCGAGCTGAGGAGGCAGCGGCGCTTCCACACCCCGAGCAGCAGTATTTACTGCCAGCGCTGCCCCCACTGCTCTGCGAGGCAGGAACGAGGCGGCTGGGGAGATTCCAGCGGCCAGGGAAACCTGGGCTCGGAGCAGGGGGAGCTCGGAGGGTTTGCCGTGCGGAGCAGCGATCCCTCCGGTTCTCCCTGCCTTACATAAAGTGTTTACTGAGAGGGAGGAGGGAACGGCCAACAACATGTTTTTGCGTTCGTAGTACTGTACAGAGTGAACTTTTCACTTCCTCTCAATGGCTCTCGCACATGTGTCTATTTTGGTGCTGGGCACACATACAAACACACCATGTACAGCACGGGGCTGGGGACGTTCTCTGCTCCCGCACTGGCCCGGCACAAGAAATGCCTGAAAACAAGGAACGGGAGGAGGGTGAGGGGGATAAATCTCAGCCCTGCTGTTTTGCATCTGTACAGGGAGGTCTGGGCAGCGCTTGGGCACTGCATGCCGTGGGCAGAGCCGCAGGCACTGAGCCCCCAGTGTCCCTGGAGGGCTGGCAGACTGGAAAAGTTTCCCAAGTGGAGCAGCAGCGAGGAAGGGCTCTTTCTGTGACTGATTATGATGTGTTCAGTGCGTGGGGGACCAGGCATGAGCGAGGGGGTTTGGGGATCTGCTTCTTCACTCCCAAACCCCACAGTGTCGTCTTGACACAGGGAGGGGTATTTTTGGCAGGTTTGGCCAAGGTATGTTTAGCTGTCAGGAGTAAGCAGGATTAAAAATAGCTGATATAAACCAAACCAGGAGGTGATGATTGACACACTCCCTTCTCCCCTCAGTGAGCCCATCTGGGCTGGAGCCTGGGCCCGCCTGCCGGCACGTTTGGAGCTGAGTGTCCCCGCAGAGCATGGCCTGGCAGCCCTCCAGGGCTGGGGAGGAGGTTTTCCGGGCTGGGGCCGGGGCCGGGGCGGTGGCGTGGGACACAGCACGGCTCAGCCGCAGCCTGACAGGAGAAACACCTCCACCGTGGCAGGGACACGGTGAACCTCTGCAGGGCTGGAGCTGGGGCTTCACCTGCACACCAGGCACTCTGGCTCTGCCACTAGAACTCACCTATTAACAGCAACAAACACTGGAGGTGGCTGTGTGCTTTCCTCTTTAGTTCTCGCTGATTGCTGGTGATGTAAGATCAGAATAGATTGCAATGAGTCTGTTTCAATCCAGATGTGCCTGGACTGAAATAGTGAGTGAAAAATATAATCCTGTCGTCAATGAGATGTTGGAAATGGAAGGGTTAGGCATCTGGAGCAGTAATTGCTTTCACACAGTGCTGCTCCTACCCCCTGCGTGGGGCCAGGGCTCTGCTCCATGGAAAATCTACATGTTGAAATGGTTATGCCACAACGTGGAAATCCAGTTCCCTCCAGGAACAGGAGCGAAGTACAACTGAAAAACAAGATGATTAAGCAGGATGGGTTTAACCAGTGGTTCTCTGCGGCTGGCAGAGCTAAACCAGGATTAAAATCTGAGTTAAATCAAATTCTGAGCGTAAAGTAAGTGTGATTTGGTTCCTCTTAAGCTGAACTGCAGTTGACTAAGGTAACAGCCTCTGAGCTTCATTAAAGCTCTTGTCGCCTCCTAAACAGCTGATTATTTCCCTCATTGGATCCTCCCCATCAGATAAATGGTTTCAAAGACAGAATTCCTTTATTGTCACAGAGAAATCTAATACAGAACAAAGTGGACAAAGTTTCAGGGTATAAAGGCAGCTTCTGCCTCAGAGAGCAGCGTCCCACTGGGGAAACAGCCACAGAGAGGGAACAGCTTTGGTGACGCCTGGAGAAGAGGCAGCTTGGCCCCTCCTGGCTCAGGACAGGTGTTGTGGTGCCCATCCTGCAAACAAGGCTGAGGAGTGTTCCTGGCACAGTGTCACCAGCTGCAGAGCAGGCACAGGGGCCTCCCCATACCAGTCCAGGCTCCTGGGTGACTCTCACAGTAACAGTGTGTCCTGCTCTGTGTGCCATGTGGTGATTCTCCAGCTCTGCACAGCTGATTCCACCCCCTGGTTTCTGGCCTGGAGCCCTGCCAGTCCAGGCAGAGGCCCCTTGTTCCTGGTTATTGGCAGCTCCACGGGGATCCCCACTCTGAAAAAACCCCAGGCCAGTCCTGCCGAGGCAGCTGTCAGACCCTGACAGATGAGGTGTGCTGAGGCCCGGCCAAAGAATGCTCCTCTTCTGCTCCCTGACAGCAGCAATGCAGACACACTCAGCCCGAGGAGGGAGTGAATCCCAGGAGCTGCTCTATTGGCTTGTCCCTCCACTCATCTGCCTCCAGCTCCTCCACCAGACCAGCTAGTTTTTCCATCCTCGCCACTTGTTGATCTGCAAGAGGTTCAAAGGTAACTGTGGTTTGCAGTGGCAGTGCAATTAAAGCTTTCAATGAGATGCAAATTCCCAGCTGTCAGTGGGCAGCAGAATGAACCCCACTGAGCCCACTTGAATCCCAACCCACTCCCTGCCTCCCTGTGAGGAGAAGGGAGGGACAGGGTTTTCTGCCCTAGTGTGTATCTGCCTATCCCTGCCTGTGCCCTGCACATTCAAGTCCTGACAGGGAAGCACGAGGCCCATTAGTGTATGGGGTGAAAACAGGATGAAGCTTATTTCTTTAGCATAAATATTTATAGTGCAGGAGAACAGAGAAGTTCAGAGAGGGCTTGGCCAGCCCATGGCAGAGCTGGGTGCAGCAGGAGGAACTTCTTGCTTTAATGAAGGCTGTAGATGAGTGTGGCAGAAAGGCTCTGCAATCAAGGCCTGCTAAGGAGACAAAGGTCTGTCCCTGGGGATCCCCAAGATGACATGTTCCTCTCAGGTTATTTATGACCAGTGGTGTGTTGGGCACACAGGTTCCATTTTCAGGTGAATTTCATATAGATTAGCTGCACAGGTGTAGAGATGGGAACATCCCTTCTCCTGGCTCTGCTGGAAGGCTAACAGTGTGTAAACTCACTGCAGCCCCTCGGAGAGACAGCCCAGCACCAACAAGAGGTGTCAGACACAGCAGGTGTGATTTATGCTGACTGCAGCAATGGGTGCTCTTAAGAGGGACTGCTCCCACTCCACCTCCTGCAACCCGGTGCTTTGGGGAACTGTCAAACAAGCCAAAATATGATGACTTTGATGGTTTGTTTTAAGCCTTTCACCTTTCCTACAGGGAAGTGTCTGGTGCTCTGCAAACCAGTGTCAAAGGCTAGCGTTTATCAGGGTGCCAGGCTGTGCAGCAGCTCCTGGGAGCTGCGGGAGCTGCAGGAACTGGAGATCTGTGGGAACAATGGCTCTGAGGTCTGGTTTTGCTTTTTGGTTCAGGAATACAGGATCACAGCCATGGAAGCTGCTGCACACCCCCAGACTACCTCCTGACAGGAAACCTCTCTGGTCTGAGACAACAGGTGGAAGTATCATTCCAGCAGGGACCAGAAGGGATTTGACCCTCCAGCAGCAGATAGGATCTGCTGCTGAGCTCTGCCCAGCACCTCGAGAGCTGTGGTGCAGCCAAGCCTGTTGCTGGGTTGGAGGTGAAGGCCCCAGAGGGAAGCAGAGGTTCAAACAAGCTGTGAGGCTGTTCCCTGGGGAGGCAGGGAGCAGAGCCAGCCCTGTCATGTCACGCCACGCCACGCCAGGCACCTGTGTCCTCCTCCTGAGTGCACGGGCAACCTCACCTGACCCTGCTGAGCCACCAGGGCTCAGCCAGGAAACAAAGGGGGAATGCAGCGTCTGTCTGCCCCAGGGCAGAGACACTCAGCGCTGGCCCGAGATCAGAGCGTGGGCGTTTCCTGCCCATAGCCGCCTCCTCAGGCCTCACCTCTGGTGGAGGCAGCAGGCAGCGATGGAAAACAAGCGTCGCAAGGCACAGCCTGTTCCCACCCAAGCTCTGGGGGTTCCCAGCGCTTTGCATAGGGCTTGCAAAAGGCCTGGGTGACAGCCTGACTTGGCATTAATGCTGCAGCTTGAAAGGCCGTTGCTCTTTGTTGTGGTTGGCATCCCAGAGCAGTCAGGCTCTTGCTCGGCCTCCTGCCCCCCGACAGGCAGCCAATGCTCCAATGCTTACTCTGGTGCTTACCGTGTTTCACCTGCTTCAGCGTCGATGCCACCTGGTAGCTGAACACAGACTCACAGAGGAACCTTTCAGAGCCATCTGTAACCAGAAAAAAAGAGGTTAAGGCTGAGCAGCCTTAGCTGAGTGCCACCAGCCCTCTGGTTTTGTGTTTGGGCTGTGGTTTCCCCCTTGCCTTGTCCCAACGCTTTCCGCTGCGACCCTGCCCGGGGCTTTGGTTGTCTCCTGGTGCCTGGAATTCTGTTGCATCCCCTCTGACAAGCAATTTGAGTCCACTTGAAACAGAAGGTAAGCCAAGGAGAAGCCAGGTAATGTTATGGCAGTCTCTGACTCCCCCAGGGCTCAGACACTTGTGTCCTCAGAAGGCTTTAGGATTCCCCACCACAGACTCAGCCCAGGACTCTGCCTAAAGAACTTCAAATAATGTGTATCTTGCCACCAAAGTCAGTAATTGATCACACAAGTGACTCAGAAGCTGGGAGACACACTAATTGTGTCCCAAGTGCTGACAAAGTTTATGCTGCTTCCTCCAAAAAAACCCAAAATACCTAAGGGTTTATCTAAAAACAAGAGAGCTGTTAAATAACAATAAAACCAGTCAGCCAGTGGGGATTTCTGAGGAGGAAACTGGTGTGCTGCTCCCCACTGGCACCCGCCTGATGAAAGAATGGGTGTATCACCCTTGGTGTCAGAAATCAGGGAGCTAACCCAAAGCCTCCTACAACACGGAGAGAGTTTGGCTGTTGCTGCCACCCAGGGCAGATGACCTGCTGTGCTCCTGGTAAAGAGGTCAGCCCCAAGCACAATCCATTAAAAGCTCCGTGACATAACAACCCAGGGAGAGGCAATTTCAAAGACTAAGAGTAGAACTAAACTCTGAAAATCTAATCCAGAGCTGAACTCCAGGGAGGAACTGGAGTTTTGCTGCACTCAGAGCATCCTCTCCGGGTGCTGAAACATTGTGCTGCCCCAGATATATCCTTCTCTCCAGCGAGTGGCCAGCAGGACCAGGGCAGTGACTGTCGCTCTGTGCTGGCACTGGTGAGGCACCTCCAGTGCTGTGTCCAGTTCTCAGTGCAAGAGAGATTGAGGGGCTGAGTGTCCAGGGAAGGGAACAGAGCTGGGGAAGGGGCTGGAGAGTCAGTCATAGGAAGAGAGGCTGAAGGAGCTGTGGGGACTCAGCCTGGAGAAAAGGAGGCTCAAGGGGGACCTTCTGCTCTCTACAGCTCCCTGACAGGAGGTGCAGCCAGGTGGGGTCAGGCTGTGCTCCCAGAGAACAAGGGACAGGACAAGAGGAAAAAGCCTCAAGCTGTCCCAGGGGAGATTCAGGTTGGACATCAGGAGGAATTTCTTTCTGGAAAGGGCTGTCAGGCATTGGAACTGCCTAGGCAGGTGGTGGAGTCACCAAGGAGCCACTGGATGTGGCACTCTGTTCTGCTCTAGTTTACAAGGTGGTGATGGGTCAGAGGTTGGACTCAATGATCTTGGAGGTGTTTTCCAATCTGAATGACTGTGACCCTCTCCTCAGCTCCCCAGCTGTGCTGCTGAGAGGCTCTGAGGAAGAGCTCTGTCTGTTTGGTAACACCGAGTGCTTCATTGCTTTGATTTGTTTGAGGGCTCGTTAAGTTGTGAGCAAGCCTTTAGTCATAATTACTTCAATGGCCTGGCACATGGGCTCTAATGTGCAATAAAAACAGCCCTTCAGAGGCACAGCCCTCAGCTCCCAGTCCTGCCACAGGGACCAGCCCCAGGCCTGGCCACCCCCACAGACTCTGGGCTCACACAGCCAAGTGTGGCAGGGGAAGGAAGTTCAAGAGAGCAGACAGACAGACCCTGTTGTGCAGAGGACCTGCCCTTCCTCCCTCACCCAGAGCACAGCCAGGGTTGTGCCTGCCTCCTCCTTCAGCAGCCCCGAGGAGCGTGGGGCAGGGCTGGGGCACACAGATCCCAGCTACCAGGGACACAAGTTGCCTCCAGCACCAGCCCAGTCAAATCCAACTCAAACCAAGGGAAAATACTCCTCCTTGCCAAGAAAAATATTCCTGCCTCAGCTATCTTCACAGCGATCCCTGCCTGACATCAAAGGATTAGCCAACAATGAGCAATTAACACCATCATGTTCCCTTTCAGGTAGATCCTTCCTTGGCTGGACTGTTGTCACGGAGCTAAAAAGCTGCCAGGAAAATCACAACTGGTGGGAGAGACAGGTGGGAGAGCCAGGGGGCCGTGGCTGAGCCCTGGGGCTTCCTCTCTCTCTCTCTCTCTTTCTCTCGCTCTCGCCACCTGGAGATGGAGAAGGCAGAGGGGTGCCAAGGGCAGTGACTCAGAGGAGAAGCAGAGAGGGAGCAGGGCAGAGCAGTCACCTTCCAGCATCTCTCCAGCGCCCTTGGGGTAGGTGAAGAGAGCCTTGCGCGGCGGTGGCAGGGCGGACACGCTGAACCCTGAACCAGTCACGGAGCTGCCGCTGACTCCCCCGGCCGAGGAGGAGGAGGAGGAGGCTGCCATTCCCCTGCAAGACAGAGAGGGCAGAACCCGGTTAGGAACGGCCTCTCTGAGCTTCCCAGGGCAGAGGGGCAGGGAAATGCTGCCTGACCCCGCAGCCTCCGAGTTCAAAGGCTGCTCTGTGTGTGGGTGACACCTCACTGCCTACACCCTACTTCCTGCTCCCTGCACCTCACTGCTTGCAAGGATGGGCACATGAGCAGTCACACCACACAGTGGCACCCCAAAACTGAAGGTAGCCCCCACTCTGACCCTCCAGACAAGAGGCACAGTTCTGGTGCCCTCAACATCAGAAGGGCATGGAACTGTTGGGGCAAGTCCAGAGGAGGCCACAAAGCTAATGAGAGGAAAAGTGATAAGTCAAATAGAGCACTGTCCCTGTGAGAATGTTGAGGCTGTTCAGCCTGGAGAAGAGAAGGTGGTGTGGAGACCTCAGAGCAACCTGCCAGGATCTGAAGGAGCTGCAGAGGGACTCTGTGTTAGGAACTGCAGCGACAGAACAAGGAGGAATAGGGGAAAATTGAAAGAGGGAAATTTAGAGCAGATATTAGGAAG